TTTTTTGATATGTAGTAGAATGGCAAACAAGCAGACGGATTACCTGATGGTAAGCTATCGATGCCGCCCTTAAGTATCAGAGAAAAAAACCGAGGGCACCAAGGGCCGAGAGATCTAGGGATTAGGAAAGGAGAAATGGGATTGGGCCTCCGGTATTGGAGAGCCTTCGGAACGAATGAGTCGGCTCGACCGGAGTGATACCACGGCCTCACAGAAAACCGGCGTGAAACAACTCTTTGTTTAGCCGTGTGAGTGAGATTACCGGAGGGTTAATACGGTAGTTTCCAACTAGTCAAATTCAATACCTACTTTTATCCAAATGTCAAAAACGATACTTTTGTATGAAATTTCTATGAAACACTGAGTTATGATGTCATAGTATTTTTGAGTCAAATAGCTTACTTATTTCTTAATAATTTGTTAAAAAATATCGAACACTTAGTGTATCGATCGATCGATGAATAAAAGTACCTATCTATAGTTATTTTTCAATGTTTATATTGTATTAAAACGTCGAATTAATTTATTTTTTACCTAGGAAACTACCCAATTCTCTTCCAGAGAACCCGATTGTCAAATTTTATCCCCAAAAGGCCGCGAACCAACTTGTATGTAACTCCTGTAGTGGCTACGGTAGTCCATGGGCGGCGCTGATTGCTTACCATCAGGTAATCCCTCTACTCGTTTGTCCCATAAAGAACTGAATATGAATTATCATGTGATTGCAAACACTATAATAGTAAGTACTATTTATCTTTTTCTAGCACTTATAAAGTGCCTTATCTATTAACACAAGGTAGTCTCAACTGCATATCAAGCTACACTTAAAACTAACACCATTATCAACTATGTTACTTCAGTACAAGGTTGGAAATGGAATGAAGATGTTTATGAAAAAAAGTATACTTTGATTTGCGGCCTCGTGTGTTCGTTGCGTCGACCTCGGTCGTGTTGGTATCTTATCAATGAAGTAGTAACTGCAGAAATCTGTTTAAATAATAATAACTACTTGGAGTTATCTTTCAAGTGGGTTAAATAAAAGAGGTTTTACTACATAATATAGGTAGGCAATCGTGACTGTATGAAGGACTAGCTATTCTCGCACGGTTTCACCCACTACTCGTCTCCATTTCATCGTAGCGTGATGTTTTATAGCCTATAGCACTCAGGAATATTGTAGCTATCTATTAGTGAAAGAATTTTGGAAATCCGACCAGCAGCGGTTCCAAAGATAACCCTCTACATACAAACTTACAAGTTTTACCTCTTTATAATATTAGTATAGATATAGATAAAAAATATTGACAAGTTTTTTTATGTGGTACGATGGCAAACTAGCAGACGGATTACCTGATGGTAAGCAATCAGCGCCGACCATGGACTCTCGCAACGACAGAGGAGTTACGCGTGCGTCGCCGAACTTTTGGGGATTTGGGATTAGGAGATTTTAGGACACTTACAAGGCGAAACACAACGCTGCGGTTGTTTCACGCCGGTTTTCTGTGAGGCCGTGATATCAATCCGGTCGAGCCGACCATTCGTGCCGAAGCATGGCTCTCCCACACTTATTTAAAATGTTATACACCAACTGCGAATTTAAATAGAAGTTATTTACTTAGTATATTTGCTTTAACCATTAACAAACTGAAAAAACAGCATGAAATCGAGCTCGCAAATAACCAGTATAAACTCACCGTTGAATGTGCGCAAAGTTCAAAAAGAGATAGGTCATGATAAATTGGATTTCGAGTGACGAGCCTTCAAATTCGTCCGCATGACTAGAATGATGAAAATTTTGTATTTAATGATATCATTTTTCGCTCAACGGACAGTTTTAATAACCTATCGCTTGACCAGCAGTCTAGGCTAATGAAGAATGGTTGTGAGGACTGAGGACTCTCTGGAGTGAATGGGAATTCTTATATGTTTGCTTACTAGGAGGAGGTGGGGCTACTAATATAGCAAGGGATTAGTTAGTTCTTATCACTGTGTTTTATATAATACGAAGGGCTCATCATCTTCCTGCCCTTGTCCCGTTTCATTTGGGGTCGGCGCAAAATGTTTTTTTCTTCCATTCACGTAACTCCTCTCCTCTCCAACTAACTCCTCTGTCTTCCATATCACTTCTCACACAATCCATCTATATTATCTTTGGTTTCCTTAACACGAAGGGCTGCCGGGGCTTTTTCAATAGTCAGATAAATGTTATCTGAGGTATAAAATTGTTGCTGTCACTGTCTTATACAACCATTCTGACACGACAGCATCATAATTATTCCCCAGGTAACTTTTGTCTAACCATTGAAAAATCAGTCCTAATATGGGTCAAATTTTTTAGTTTGTATGTGGGCGATAATCTCCGAAACTACTGGTTCGAATTGAACAATTCTTTTTTTGTTGGATAGTTCAATTATCGAGGAAGTTTGAAGGCTGTTAAACATCACACTACGGCCTTTAGGAGCCGAATAGTGGGCGAAACCGTGCGAGAATAGGTAGTCTATACTAATTATTATAAAGATGTAAAATTTGTAAGTTTGTATGCAGGGGGTAATCTTTGGATTGCCAAAATGCTTTCACTGATAGATATCTACAATGTTCGTAAGTGCTATAGGCTATAAAACATCACGCTACGATCAAATGGAGCCGAGCAGCGGGCTAAGCCGCGCAAGGTACAGTCGTGCTTTGGCATGAATGGGTCGGCTCAACCGGCATGATACCACGGTCTCACAGAAAACCGGCTTAAACAAACTATAGCGTTGTGTTTTGCCGTGTGAGTGAGGTTACCGGAAGCCCAATCCCTTCCCCTCTCCCAGCCCTTCCCAATCCTTAAATATCTGAAAGCCTTATCCCTAAAACGTTGTCCATGGGCGGCGCTGATTGCTTACCATCAGGTAACTCGTTTGCCAAATTATACTATGAATTATTGCACGGTTGGTGCGGTGGCTTGGCAACTGGCTGCCGTGCAACGTGTCGCGTTCGATTCCCGTACGGAACAACTTTTTGTGTGATCCACAAATTGTTGTTCCGGGTCTGGGTGTCATGTGCATGTGAAATTGTATGTTTGTGACCGCACCCACGACACAGGAGAAAATTCAAGTGAGGGGCAACGTTTTTTCTAAAAAAAAAACAAAAATCAAAACAAAAACGGTTCCCAACAAAACGTTTGATAGCAGCTGATGTAAGCTACCAACTCCTATACATCATCGGACGGTCAATTTTTTACCAAAAAACAAAGGCAGAAAAACTTAGTTCAAATATTACATAATGATTACGGTAAGATGGCGGCTGAACCTCGATATAAATATGTATTATGCACTAGCTAATCTCACGTGGTTTCACCTGTTGCTTGGCTCCTGTTGATCGTAGCATGTTTTTTGTCCCCCTGGCGCAAAAACAGGGGTGTTATAAGTTTGACGTGTCTGTCTTTGGCATCATAGCTCTTGAACGAATGAACCGATTTCAATTTAGTTTTTTTTTTGTATTACAGGTGTTTTACGGGCGAGTGTTCTTAGACATGTTTGATGAAAATCGATAGAGCCTTTTAAAAGTTATGGGGGGTTAAAGGGGGGAAGAAAAACCGAATGTCTGCAAATATGCTCAAATAGGATATCAAGTATCTGGTTATGACTTGTATGTCATAAAAAACGAAATACAAAAAAGTTTTAGATGATATCGGACACGGGCGAGGAGGGAGGCTAATTGAGACAAACACGTTATGTTTGTATTTAACTTTTTAAATTACTTAAAATGTTAATATTTGTAACCGAAATTATCCGAAACTAATAAATAAAAATATAAATTTAGGCAGGCAGTAAGGATTGGGCCTCCGGTAACCTCACTCACACGGCGAAACGCCGGTTGTTTCACGCCGGTTTGAATGAGAATATGCCATGTTTCGGAGGCAATCGAAATAATGTTCTGCCGTTCCAGCCCGACGATCTTAGCTTGTCAGACCAGAACCAGACCCTCAAAGAGCCAATAGACCACCACAGACAGGGCTAATGTTCAGCCGGGGTTGCGCGGTAAGCGGAATGAGGCACCGCGGCCTCGGCCCAGAGCAGGAGAAGGAACAGGGGGGGTTTTTAGTGAGTAAGAGTCTGAAACTCAGAATTAAAACACCCGCCCTGGGTTGGTCTAAGAAAAAAATCCGAAGATCCCAATCCATCAAAATTATAGTTGCCAATAAGTAATAATACAAAAAAATATCTCGAGTCAAGTATCATACTTAAGGAATGGGTCGGCTCGACCGGGGAGATGCCACGGCCTCACAAACAAACCGGTTTCGTCCTACCACCTCCCCTCCCCTGTCCCTAAATCTCCAAAAAAACAATAATCCTAAAGACGGGCAACAAATATCTACTAATACTACAACACACTCATAACTCCTCTTCCGCTGGAGTTGCGGGTGTCCATGGGGGTCCTTATTGCCTCTGCTACCACATAAAAAAAAGTATTATAACCTAAAAAAGACTTTTTAAAATATGAACTGCGGTAATTCGAAACACAATAAACGAAAAAATGTTCATCCCCATCACATAGATGGTTGGCAGTCAACAACTGTGCGATTGACGCGTAACTTTCTGCCCCGCACAGCAAAACTTTGGAAGAATCTACCGGCGGCGGTATTCCCGAACCGATACGACCTTCAAACCTTCAAGAAACGAGCGTACTCCTTCTTAAAAGGCCGGCAACGCACCTCGCTTAAAAAAAACAATAGCTGTTCGTGAACGCCAGCGTTTGCTTGGGATTTGATATTTAAATATTACTTTTGCAACTTTACCTAAGTACCTAGTTTTAAAACGATACCTACGCTTAATATATTTATGATGAGCTCACAAATTACCGGTCGCGATGTACTTTAGCCTAACAACGAATGTATCAACGAGTCTGATGTAATTCAACGACATAGGTATCTTCATAAATACGTAGCTAACAACGCACGGATCACAGTCAAGGTTGTAAACCAGAACTAAACGCACGCGCCACGGACTGCCTTATTTATTTTGTCGAACGAAACTGAATTATTAATAAAAAACAATAATAGTGTCCTTTTTTTAAATAGTTTTTAAAATTATTGACAATCGTATCTATAGTTTGTGTTGTGAATTTATTTTTATGTGTTTGGTTGTTAAATTGTAGGTGAGTTTTTATTTACTTTATTTGTTTTTAATATAAGTTTTTAGTGTATTTTGTAAACTTTTTGGTTTTGTCTATATGGTTATAGGCAAAAACTATAGAGTTTCACCTATAAGTTCCCTTCCACTACTTTAATATGTTACTCTATCATAACCATTGTAACTGTTTATAAGCGAATACCTAATTTCTAATTGAATATTTAGTTTTAAACAACGAAGTACTCTACAGAAAACAATAATTATAAATAAATACGATAATTAGAAAAAAAAAGTTCTTCTAAACTTTATTACCGACGCCATATTTTTATTTTCCCGCCACTAGTATTTTACTCCATCTCTTCATTCACTCTCGTTCGAAATTTCAAACAATAGGCGAATAGACCGCTAATGAAGCTATACCAATTACTTCAATAGATTTACAATTCTATTTACAAGGCAATAAAGTTGACTCTTTATTACAGAATTCCGACGCATAAGGTTAGGTTGACATGAAAGCGCCTTAGTAACAACCTTTTATTTTTTTATTATAAAAAAGAAACATTGACCGTAGACTCTATGATGAGGTTCGCTAAAAAATAATACCTAATAATCGATTTAAAATTATCATAATTTAGGTGATTTAGATAAAGAATTGTTTAGTATTTTATCGATATGTGATTGGAAAAATGGAACCACGCTAGATGCGGCTGTTATACGCGGAGTTTGATTAAGAGTCTATTTATAGTTTTGTTGACATTACATCATACTAACACACAGTTGGTACCTATGTTACTCACGAACGAGCGAATTTAAAGTCGGTTAGCGTAGCTTACAAATTATGAAGAACTGTTATTATTATTGCAATTATTCCTCATTCCAAAACATATTGTTTTTTTTAATGTGGCTAACGAGTAGACGGATTCTCCGATGGTTGCCTAGCAATCAGCGCCGCCCACGGACGCTTGTGGTACCAAAGGGAGTTACTACAAGTGCGTCGCTGGCCTCTTGTGGGTTATTAGGGATTTAAGGATAGGGGATTTGAGGATTGAGGATGGGGGGGGGGGGGAATAATCTAATTTACACGGCTAAACACACAGAAGTGTTGCTACACGCAGGTTTTCTGTGTATTGTTCTAACTTAGAAAGACAAATTCAGTAGACAAACAATGGATACTATTTCTAAGTATTTGAATAAATATTAGTGTTACACTGTTCTCACATAATTGAACCAACTGTTTGTAAAAGGAATCTGTATGTGAAACTGATTTAAAAAGAGTAACCATGGAGTTTCTTGCTCGTTCTTCTCCATCGGAATCTACACTTTGGAACGAGCAAATAGCTTCACTAAGAGGACTGACCGACAGACTGACACTATTTTTTTATTTTATATTTTGTTTGACGTTCAAAAGTGCCTGTAAAGGTCTAATTGGAATAAATGATTTTTGACTTTTTTTTTTTGACTTTTGTACTCAATCAGACTTGATTTTCTAACCTGCATACTAAATAGCTAGCAGGTTATTTTTATTTGTGACAAATATCATCGTTTACTTATGCAATAGATACATTTTTGGAGGTTAAGTTAGGTTAGGTTTTTTTTAAATTTACCGAATCCCATGCGAACGCGTTTGCCCACATATCGTTGTACTATTGTTTCTCATATAACCACGATTAAGGGCTGATTTTTCAATCGTTACATAAATGTTACCTGTGGAATAATTATGATGCTGTCGCGTCAGAATGTTTGTATAAGACAGTGACAGCAACAGTTTTATTCCTGAGATAACATGAACTATTGAAAAATCTGCCCTAAAAAGGTTGAAATGGAGATTATTGTTTTAAATATGTAAATTCAGATAGCGGCTTCTTATTTCTTACAAAAAAAACTACAAAAATATAAAAAAAAATTAAAGCTACATTCTTGTTGATTTCTTAACATTTCAATTGTGGTTATAATGACAGAAAGTGAGACAATTTTGTGTGTAAATAGTATTAATAGACAATAGGTAAGCAAACGCCGGCGTTCGCTTGAAGCTAGATGAATTATAATAACAAGACCATAGATTACTTTAAACTAGTCCGAGATTACGACCTCGGCGCATTCAGCCAAAAAACAGAAACATGTTTTACAACTTTTTTTTATCGATACCTAAAGGTATAAACAAGTTTTTTTTATAAAACAACTTTTTTAGATTCTTATGTAGTCATAATCATCTTCGGGTCAGTATAATAATAGACCGTAGGTCACCATCTGTAGGTACATATTCTATAAAAATTGCCTTGAAGCCAGATATCCTTGATTGAAACGATGCAACGTACCTCAGACCGAAACTATTTTACTATTAGCTAAAGTTTATTATACACATAAATAATATACCGTTTACCAGGTAACGAAGCCATATCGCGATTTAATCCAACGCCATCTATCGAGCTATACGGTACTATACTTTTACAAATTATCAATTTCGGTTACGAGATGGCGTGGGGATCAAGTACAACATTATTTTTCTTATTATTTGTACATTTAACACCTTCGTTATATTAATTTCAACATGTATTGAGTTTATGCGGTAAGGCAAAGATACCTGATGGTAAGCAATCAGGGCCGCGCATAGACACACGCAACACCAAAGGATTTACGATTGCGTTGCTCGACTTTTGAGGGTTTCCGAGATTGAGGGATTGGAGAAGGAAAAGAAGGATTTTTCCTCCAGTGACCTCACTCACACAGCGGAACACAACACTCATTTCGAGATTAAAGAATTGTTGTTTGGCTCCATGAAATAAATAATTCAACACAAAAAAAATATTCAATTCGGACTAGTCGTTTCGGAAATTATAGCGTTTAAACAAACAGACAACCAAATAATTCAGCTTTATAATAATAATAACATAACATAAGCCCTTTGGACCAGGAAATGTTTTGTATTATGTATATCTATTGATTTCCGTATTTCTATAGTCTATCGGTTTTTCAATGGTTACATAAAAGTTACCTGGGGAATAATTATGATGCTGTCGCGTCAGAATGTTTGTATAAGACAGTGACAGCAACAATTTTATTCCTCAAATAACATTTATCTGACTATTGAAAAATCTGTCCTAAATGTAAATAATCTTGGCATGCCCCTTTATCTAAAACTTGTCTAAAAATTGTATGTAAAAATGTTTACAATGAGGTATTTACCTAAATCGATGTTAGCTAATAAACTAAATTTAAATAATCTTTGTATGTATTTTATACGAGCTCTTTAATATAAAAAGAGATACCCGTTGGCCCACTTTATGATTTTCTCCTGTGTCGTAGGTGCGGTTACAAACATACAATTTCACATACACATCACACCAAGACCCGGAACAACAATTTGTGGATCACACAAAGAGTTGTTTCGTGCGGGAATCGGTCCAGCGACACGTTGCACGGCAGCCAGTTGCCCACCGTACGGCGCGTAGCGTTCCGCGCGCGCCTCAAGGAGCCTATAGACCACCACAGTCGGGGCCCAATAGGGCTGATGTTCAGCCGGGGCTGCGGGGTAAGCGCAATGAGTCATCGCGACCTCGGCCCAGAGCAGGAGAAGGAACGGGGGAGTCAGTAAGAGCCTGACACTCTCTCTCGCCTTACCCTGGTCGGGAGAAGTCATTGGACGATTTTCACCTGACAAAAAAAGAAAAAGCCAGTTGCCCACTGTACCAACCGTGCAGTCAAAGTATAATTCTCTTTATACTATGGTGCAGTCGACTTACGTATTAGGTAGACTAATTTTTGTAGAGTAATTTTGACGTAGTAAAAAGAAAGAAAGAAAAAAAACATTAACGAAAAAAAAAAAAACAAACATTTTATATATACAAAAAGAAAAAACAAACAAAAATAAACAAAACAACAACAAAAAATATTAAAAAATAAAATAAAAGACCTGTGCGAGGTCAAAAAGGCCACTATCTCAGCATATGCTGTGATAATTCACCAGTAGGTAAAAATACCGCAGCGCTGGTATTCTGATAGGGCCTGGTGGGCCTGGTAGTAAAAAATATTTGTGATAAAGGCGTGATAAATTCATTGTCTCGTCAAGAAATTCAAGTTAAATTGTGTCAGAGCTATCCTTCCACACGTATGGGTCGGCTCGATCGGAGTGAGACCACGGCCTCACAGAAAACCAGCGTGAAACAACCACAGCGTTGTGTTTCGCCGTGTGAGTGAGGTTACCGGAGGCCCAATCTTTCGATAACCTAGCCTTGATCAAGCGTGATGGTTAATACCTAATCAAACCTTCTTTCTCCACGTGAGAAGAAGCCTTTGCTCAGCAGTGGACACTTATAGGCTGATGATATTGATGATAATGAAAAATTCATATAAAATAATGAAACCTATAATAACTGACAAAAAACAAACGGCCTTATTACAAAACAAGGTTTTACTTTAGTCTAGGACTAAACCATTGAGCCAGTTTTCGTATTTCGAATTGAAGGTAGATGACAATAAGATTCAAAATGCAAAACCCGACTCAATGGTTTAAACCTGGACTAAAGATAAACCTTGTTTTGTAATAAGGGGAAAGAGTTTTACGATAAAAAAAACTGATTTTCATACTGGCAACATTTCGTCGTAACATTTTCTGAACGGCAGCTCGTAATGCTATACCAAAATTCTTGAATAAAATTCTAACCTTATCATATTTGGTATATGATTGAAAATACATTGTAGATTTTGTGCAGGTGAGTGTAGGTTGAGGCGCCTGTACTTACTTATTTGCACGGAGATAAAAATGGCTGAATGTTAAAAAACTTATCTTGATGATAAAAATTATTACCTACAATGATTGCTTAAATAAATATTTATAAAATATATTAAACTAGCTACTCTCGCGCGGTTTCATTCGCTGCTCCACCCACTGCTCGGCTACGTTTAATCGTAGCGTGATGTTTTATAGCCTATAGCACTCAGGAAGTCTCTATCTATCAGTGAAATAATTTTGGCAATCCGACCAGCGGTTCCAAAGATTACCCCCTACATACAAACTTACAAATTTTACCTCTTTATAATATTAGTATAGATTCACTTTGAAAACTTTTTAACTCGTACGTTCACGTAATCCAAGCCTTAAACAAGATATTTTGATTTGAAAATAAAAACAAAACCTAATCAGACTTATATTAAAAACCTTTTAATTTACAAAAAAAAAAAAAAAAAAAATAGTTTGAATAGTAAATATAGCATAATTATCCTTGTAAGTATGTATTAATATTTGACCTCCAGCTTTGAGCTTACAAAAGTTCGATAAACTATCCAAGATAACAGAAAACAGAATATTAAGAAGATAATTAAGAAAACAGAATAAAATTGAAATTAAAATTGATTTTTTATTTGTATTTTTATTTTCTGTGTGTGCGCTTGCGTAAAATTATATGTTTTTCTTTCTTTCTTCTTTCTTTAATAAAACAAACAGAATATGACTACCACAAAAATCATATATAACCTTCACTAGCTTTTGCCCGCGAATTCGATCGCGTGGAATCGTGACTTTCTGCAGATTTTTGGTTTAAAAACTATCCTATGTCCTTTCTCGAGTTCCAAACTATGTGTACTTACCAAATTTCACAGAAATCGGTTCAGTAGTTTAGGCGTGAAGAAGAGACAGACAGACAGAGTTACTTTCGCATTTATAATACTTATTAGTTTGAATTAGGTAGGTTTTTTTGTGAGGGGAAAATCATCAAATGACTTCTTCTCGGAGGGAGTGTCAGACTCTTACTGACTAAAACCCCCCTGTTCCTTCTCCTGCTCTGTGCCGAGGTCGCGGTGCCTCATTGCGCTTACCCCGCAACCCCGGCTGAACAGGTTAAATATAAAATCGGATGACTCAGAGCCTAAAAAACACTGTTTTTTTATGCTCTAACTTTTTTTTTGTACCAACGGCTCCCTTCTTTTTGTTCCAGTTAACAATGAAGTTAAGTATCCTGCTACTCCTAGCTGTGGCAGCACACTGCCATGGCTACCACATTATCACAATGTTCCCAATGCCATCACACAGCCACAACCAGCTGTCCAAGGGCATCGTAGACGCTCTGCTCCAAGGAGGTCATACGGTGAGTACCAATACAGCATTGTGAAACTGATTGAGAAAGAGTTATCATGGAGTTGCTTGCTCGTTCTTTTTCATAGAATTGTAGGTACTTGGGGACGAGGAAATAGATTCACTAGAGGACTGATTGACAGACTGACACTTTTTATATTATACTAGCTACTCTCGCGCGGTTTCACCCGCTGCTCGGCTCCATTTAATCGTAGCATGATTTTTTATAGCCTATAGACTCAGGAACATTGTAGCTATCTATCAGTGAAAAAATTTTGGCAATCCGACCAGCGTTTCCAAAGATTACCCCCTACATACAAACTTACAAATTTTACCTCTTTATAATATTAGTTATATTATATAGTTTCGTCTGATTTTTATGTAAATCCTAACCTAATTTCATACATAAGTGTGGGAGAGTCATGTTTTGGCTCGGCCGGAGTGAAACACTCACAGCGTTCATTACGTGAGTGAGGCCGGAGGCTCAATTCCTCGCCCTATCCCCATCCTTTTCTAATCCTCAAATATCGAAACACTCCTTTGGTGTTGCAAGTGTCTATAGGCGGCGCCGATTGCTTACCATCAGGTAATCCGACCTAACCTATGAAAAAATTTTGGCAATCCTACCAGCGGTTCTAAAGATTGGCCCCTACATACAAACTTACAATACCTCTTTATAATATTAGTATAGATAAGCATATAATTTCATCCATATTCCAGGTGACCTGGGTGACTCCATTCCCGGAGAAGGCTGACAAGAAGAACCCGAAGCTGAAGCTGATCGACATCAGCTCGGTTCGACGTCATGTTGCTAGTAAGTATCTTCAAAATATTTTTTTTTATTATTATTTAATAGGTCGGGAAACGAGCAGACGGATTACCTGATGGTAAGCAATCAGCGCCGCCCATGGACACTCGCAACGGAGGAGTTACGAGTGCGTTGCCGACCTTTTAGGGATTAGGGATTTGGAGATTTAGGGATTGGGGGAGAGGAAGGATTGGGCGTCCGGTAACCTCACTCACACGGCGAAACACAACGCTGTGGTTATTTCACGCCGGTTTTCTGTGAGGTGGAGTATATATCATCATTTAAATATACAGGGTGTTTGGCAGAACGTTGAACATATGAAAATGGTGGATAAGTGGGGTCATCTGCTACTTACTCAGCCCTAATTTACTTGGCCCTGGCCCACTGGGTATTTTTAAATAAGTCGGCTAGTTTTTTTCTTTCTTCTTGTTTCACCACTTTCTTAACTTTAAAGTGTACTTTTTTATTTAAAATGGGTAAAACAGGCAACAGATTAAAAATAAAAATAAATTATTGTCTGTTTTATTACCCATTTGTTCAACGTTCTGCCAAACACCCTGTGTAAAAGGAGAAAATGACTGACATCAACGCACAACCTTAACGGCTAAACGTAGGCACTTGAAATTTGGAAAGGACGTCGCTTAGGTACCGTGGAGGTGCACCAAGAAAGGAATTCTCGCTTGCGTGCGGTCGGCAAGTTTCCTGCCGTATAGCACAAGAAAAGCCCTGATTAACAAAATAGGAGTACCTATTTGGGCACAAGTAGGACATTTTTTTTAAAAAAAAAAAAACGTTGCCCCACTCTAGGATTTTCTCCTGTGTCGTGGGTGCATTTACAAACATACAATTTCACATAGACATGACACCCAGACCCGAAACAACAATTTGTGGATCACACAAAGTGTTGTTCCGTGCGGGTATCGAACCCGCGACACGTCGCACGGCAGCCAGTTGCCCAGCCACCGCGCCAACCGTCCAGTCAAAAGTCGAAGACATGGATCATTCGCAATAATATTTCCTCGGGGTAAAAATTACAGGTGACTTTTTCCTAGTTATATGTCCTTTCTATGAAGTGAAGGTGAACATCGTGAGGAAACCTGGACTATATATATATATATAAGTTTGAAATCGCCAACCGGCATTGAGCAAGCTTGGTGATTAATGCACAAACCTTGTCCGTGTGAGAAGAGGCCTTTGCTCAGCAAGGGGCACTTATAGGCTGATAATAATGATGATGAAAAATATCACGGGCCAGAAATATCAGTGAGAAATGTCAGTGGGCACCATCAGGTGATACGATCTTTGTCAGGTTCAGGTTGGTTGGTTGATCAGGTTTCCATTCAAAAAACATTTGTCCTTTTGTAAAAAAAAAACTATTCCTAACATAATCTTCTTTTTTATGGTATAAGTCGGCAAACGAGCAGACGGATTACCCGATGGTAAGCAATCGGCGCCGCCCATGGACACCTGCAACACCAAAGGAGTTACGAGTGCGTTGCCGGCCTTTTGGGGATAGGGGTTGCGGATATAAGGACCGGGAAGGGATAGGGGAAGGGAAGGGATTGGGCCTCTGGTAACCTCACTCACACCGCGAAACACAACACTGTGGGTTGTTTTACGCCGGTTTTCTGTGAGGCCGTGGTATCACTCCGGTCGAGCCGACTAATTCGTGCCGAAGCATGGCTCTCCCACTCTTTCTTAGCATAATCTTATTAAAAATCTTCTTTTTTTTCAAATATGGTCTTAAAAACACCCTTTTCCTCTTCAGATATCGACATGACAGATCAGGCTCACAACAACGCCGGTATCTCTTTCATAAAAGAGTTCGCTGGAAATATGTCGCTAGAAATGCTGAATACTCCTGATGTGAAGGAGGCTCTTCTGAAAGGAAACTTCGATGCTGTAGTCACTGAAAATTTCTTCTGTGACTTCTTAGCTGGGTAAGTTTGAAAAGATTGGTTGTTTGTTTCATAGAAAACGTTGCCTTATAGTAGGATATTCTCCAGTGAGTTTACAAACATACAATTTCACATACACATCACACCCAGACTCGGAACAACAATTTGTGGATCACACAAAGAGTTGTGTCGTGTTGGAATCGAATCCTCGACACGTGGTGCGGCAGTGTAGTCATAGTGCTTTTGTTATGGCGAAATGCATTATTGTCAAAATACTTCTTTAACCAACCCTTTCTAACTCTTAGTCGAGGTCGAGGCCACGGCATATTATTGCCCCGCAACCCTGGACTTAAAGCACCCGATAAAAAAAATTAGAACAGAATGTCCCCCATCAGTCTTCGGCATTATTAACAACAGCCCATCTTTTTCGCAGAATCCCAGCAGTTCTGCAGGTGCCTTGGATCCAGTTAGCCGCGACCCAGGTGCACCCTGACATTGAGGCGCAGGTCGACGAGGTCCGTTCAGTGCCCACCATACCCCTGATGTTCAACCCTTCAGGAGTTCCCATGTCATTTGCCAGCAGAGCAATAAACGCCATGATATACTCCATGATGGCCGTTTACCAATGGTAAGTGTGCTTTGAAAATATGAGTTTTCCCATTTTTGTTTTGCTCTCTTCTCATGCATGAAGGTACGAAACCTGGCATGTAACAATGACTTTTGCCGTGTTATAATATGTCCTTTCTAAGTATATCATAAATAAACTCAGAGATCCGTCTTTTTTAAAGTCCACACAGTGTAAAATAATACAAACTAATATTATAAATGCGAAAGTAACTTTGTCTGTCTGTCATTTCTTCACGCCTAAACTACTGAACTTATTTGTGTAAAATTTGATAAAGACATAGTTTGAAACTCGAGAAAGGACATAGGATAGTTTTTATACACAAAATCTGCAGGAAGTCACTATTCCACGCAAACAAAGTCGCGGGCAAAAGCTAGTAATTATTATTTCGTAAGAACCGTGTAAGTTCATTCTGTAGTGGCCTTTTGAGGAAAGAACCACACCAGTTTAAGTGGACCCGTTCCGAAGTAGCTACAGACCTTCAGTCAAATCTGATCTTACCACCAGAAATTGCTTTAGAGTTCTGGTCTTCTCATAATTTCCTGATTCCTATCATCAGGTCTGGTCGTGCCGCTACCATCAAACAGTATGAAGATTTCTTCACCCCCATCGCTGCAGCGAGAGGTGTGTCCCTCCCTCCCTTCGACGATGCATTCTACAACGTCTCCATCACCTTCGTAAACTCCCACGAGTCCCTGACTCCAGCGTTCACTACTCCTCCCAATGTCGTCAGCATTGCTGGTTACCACATGGATGAGAATATTCCACCATTGCCTAAGGTAAGAAAGCTCTTTTTATGTCGTAAGGTCCGCATACGGTTTACCTGATGGTAAGCAATCAGCGCTGCCCAAGGACACTCGTGATACCAAAGGATTTTTCATATTACGAGTGCTTTGCCGGTCTCTCGTAGGTTATACATAAGACAATAAAGGATAGGGGGTTTGAGGATTTTGGGTGTGTGTGGTCACTTCCGACTTTTTATGTGATAGTTCAGTAAACGAGCTGACGGTGGTAACCTGATGGTAAGCAATCAGCGCCGCCCATGGACACTCGTTACACCAAAGGAGATAATATAAGTCCAGGTGCGTTGCCTCCCTCTTGTGGATTATAAAAGATAGGTGATCGAGGGGGCGGGGGAGAAGGATTGGGCCTCCGGTTACTTTTTTTCTTTCTGAGCATCCGACTTTTTATGTGATAGTTCGGCAATCGGGCAGAAGAATTACCTGATGGTAGGTAAGCAATCTGAGTTGTCCATGAACACCTGCAACACCAGAAGAGTATCGAGTGTGTTGCCGGCCTTTCGGGGATTTAGGGTTTGGAGAGGGGTGGAGGAGGGAAAGGATTGAACCTCCAGCAACAGGCCGTGGTATCACTCCGGTCGAGACGAACCATTCGTGCTGAAGTATGGCTCTCCCACACTTGATCGACTACCGAATCTTGTCACTATAGAAGTTATCTACCCTTGACTAGATACAGAATCTTGTCATGCTTAGAACTAAGCAAGTTAACTATTGATATACTTGTAATCAATATTTTTGAATCGACTCTAATTCCTTCTCTTTCATCACAGGACTTGCAAGAATTGCTGGATGGATCACCCCAAGGTGTGATCTACTTCAGCATGGGCTCAGTCCTTCGCTCATCAGCTCTGAAGCCGCACACCCGTGCTGGTCTACTGAAAATGTTCGCTGCCCTCCCTCACACAGTGCTGTGGAAGTTCGAGGAGCCTCTCAAAGACCTCCCTCCCAACGTCCACGTCAGACCCTGGATGCCCCAGCCTAGTATTCTTGGTAACTATATTATTTTTCTTTTTCTTTATCCACATCCCAAGTATGTAACTTTAGGATCACCTATATTTTCACTGACGTAGTAACTGACAGACTATGTATTAGTATTATTTTTGGACGTTCCAAAAGTATCTGTTTATGGTTTAGTTGGAATAAATGATTTTGATTTTGATCAGAATTCTTGAACCAGATGACAGCTTTTTACACGCAAAAGAATAGCTCCTTAAGGTCTTTAACGATCTCTGACGCCATATCAGGACATTAAACTGCCACCATCAATGGGGTTCCCTACGTTAGATGCCTAGCCGGGTTTGCAGGTGTAATTGCAATGATATACCGTGGTCCCAAAACAGGGGTAAAATTGAGTATACCACCATTCTCTCTCTGCATCACCCCAAGGTTGACTGCTGAGACTGCCTACGGCATTAAGTCCAACCGTGATATAAAATTAAATTTAGTCAGTAAGAGTTTGACTCTCTTGCCTTAACCTGGGCTGATGCGAAAAGCCATTTGATGATCATATCTATAGTAGATCTATAGGTCTACTTCACATAAAGACTATAGTCTTTCAGGGCCAGTTAACAATGGTTCTATTGACCTTCGAATTTTGTCTGCAGCTCACCCCAACGTGAAGGTATTCATCACTCACGGAGGTCAGTTGAGTTCGTTGGAAGCTGTTCGAGCCGGAGTGCCGCTGCTGTCGGTGCCGGTGTTCGGAGACCAGCCCGCGAACGCCGAGCGAGCCAGGCGCAGCGGATATGCTCTGAAAGTGGATTTCTCGCCAGATATGGTGCCCGAACTAGAAGTCGCTCTAAAGGAGATCTTGAATAATGACCAGTAAGTATCCGTGATGACAAGTAAGCAGTTGTATAACTCGGAAAAAGTAACATTGGTATTTGGCAGGTTTGGACCCCTCATGCATGAGAAGCGGACGCCTTAACCTCCGGGCTACCACGACTTGTACCAATGTGACTTTTTCACAGTCATATGTACTTTCTATGATTATTAAGACACCACTTACATACGGTGAAGGAAAACATCGTGAGGAAACCTGAGCTTGTAATCCTGATTATATGTTCGAAATTGCCAATCTGCCTTGAGCAAGAGTGGTGGTAAATGCTCAAACCTTCTCCGTCTGAGAAGAGGCCTTTGCTCAGCAGTGGACACTTATAGGCTGATGATGTGATGTGAAGCAGTTGTATATTGCCTGATGGTAAGCAATCGATATCGATGACCCATGGACACCACAAGAGGAGTTAAGAGTGCGTTACCGGTCCGTTAAGGATTAGGGATTCGGATATTTAGAGATTCGGGAAGGGGAACATTGATTGGACCTCCGCTATCCTCACTCACACGGCGAAACACAGCGCTGTATTATTCCACGCCGGTTTCCTGTGAGGCCGTGGTATCACACCAGTCGAACCGACCCATTCGTGCCGAAGCATGGCTCTCCCACACTTACACCCAGTTTCGAGTTTGAAAGGCCGATCAATGTTAAAATCAATTTAATCTCTTGTCAAGTCATCTGATTGGTTGTCTGAATTATCAACAACCAATCAGATGACTTGACATGAGATTTGACACCTAGTTAGTTGATTTTAACATTGATCGGGCCTTCGGAAACCGGACATTAATCTTATAACTTCTCTATAATTTTGTTACAGATATTCAAAACGTGCGAAGTATCTCTCGAAGATATTCACAATGCGTCCCACCACCCCCAAGAAGTTAATCAACCACTACGTGGAACTGGCCATCGAGACTAAAGGTAATTTTTTTATGTGTTTTTTATGTGACAGGACGGACAAGGACATTCGAATCTACAATTTGGAATGAGCACCTAGCTTCACTGACTTTCAGACTGACAGACTACTATTCTATTTTGACGTTTCCTAAAGTACCTATTTATGGTTTAGTTGGAATAAATGATTTTGACTTTGACTTTCACACAACGGAGGAGTTTTACGTCTTCGTCGCCGACCTTTTGAGGATTGGAGATTTGGAGATTTTGGGATTGGGGAGAGGATTTACTAGTAAATCCTCAGTTGTGTCCTTGATTGAAAATAATTGCTGATAGGCTGGATTTTGGAATTAGCTATAGGTTTCCAACTATACTAATATAGTAGGTATCTACATAAGATTTTTCGTTACTAGGTAATACACTAACAATCTATGGACTATTATGGGTCTGAAATAAAAAAAAATTAATTTTTAATTAAAAATTTTAATAAAAAAAATGAAATAAAAATGCTCGTTTCATTACAGGAGCACACCATCTACGCTCGACGTCTCTACAATACAAATGGTACGAGCGCTGGATGTTAGATGTCTTGCTCGCCGTGCTAGTCACGCTTGCGAGCATAGTAGCTCTGCTCGTGTACGCTGTTAAGAAGGTCATAAGCAAAGTGACAGGAAAAAAAGTTTACACAGAAAAATCAAGTAAAAAGAAAAGAAATTAGCACTTATAACTTATTTATTAATTTATTTAAGTAGATATTTATAATGTATTTTAAAATTAGGATTTGGATTAATCTAGATTTTTATAAATTGATAATATACTTAGGTAAACCTACATAATTACTTAAAATAGATCTTTTAAAAATATGTTTTTTGTTGTTTTTTTTAAATAAATGTGTTTTATTTTATTACCTACCCACTTTAACTTTAGCTTACTTCTGCCCGCGACTCAGTTCGCGTGGAATAGTGACTTACTGCAGATTTTTTTATATATAAAAACTATCTATTCTATGTCCTTTCTCGAGTTCCAAACTACGTATGTACCAAATTTCACAGAAATCGGTTCAGTAGTGTTAGTATAAATCCCACTTTATTACAAGTTTCGACTTTATGAAGATTATAGTCATAGACAATATAGATATATATTCTCTTTGCTTTTATAAAATGTCACATAATTTTCCCGCCTACCGTTATTAGTAAAATAAAACTACATTACATCGAACAACAAGTATTTTATTAAAATATGCACATACACAACGAGTAGTTTAGGCGTGGAGAAAATACAGACAGACAGAGTTACTTTTGCATTTATGATATTAGTTTGGATTAGCTTCCTTAGTACGTATGTTGATAAAAAGTAACCTAAGTGTAAATCCTCAGTCATCTATCTACAAGCCAAAAGGATATTAGGCAAACTACTATAGCACTGTGTAGCGCTGTTTTTCGGCATAGTATAGTACTTACCCTCAGAAATAAAAAGTAATATTACACCTAAAAATATTAAATGTAAACTTAAGAAATATTATTTAAGAATGTTTTCTCCTACTGATTGACACAAAGATTGTATAAATTAATTTCGATAATAACGTACACATAATTATAAAACTGTAACTATTTTTTTTTCGATTTGAGATGATTCATGATAGCACAAGTTTAAACCTTAGTGGTTTTTTGGTTGCTATTTAACATAAATAACCCTGTAATATTTGTAAAACTGATAAATAAAAAAAAAACTTAGGGAAAATTGGACATAAGTTATGGCAATTGACATAGTAATATATTTATTAAAACAATCTTGAAAAAGAAAGAATAAGTGACTAGTGTCTATCAGTCTTTCAGAAACTGTGCTTCTTTTTTTTTTTTTGTTGGAGTATATGGCCTGGATACGAGTCCTTTAAGCCAAAAACTGTGCTTCTTTTTGAGTTTTGAGCAGAGTATACATACTGTGATACAGCGCCATCTAGTTTTTAAATAGTCACAACAAAATATTATTAATTTACGATCACGTTGCTCATATTAGAATAGTGTGACTATTAAGTATTAAAAAGCATAACAATAAAAAAAATACATATTAAATAATATTGTGACTTTAATTTATAAAATCTCCTAAGTCAAAAAAGCATGTAATAAAATAACATAGTTCTGCTACTGAGCAGTAGATGGCACTAATAGTTGCATTCAAACGATTTTTTTTTGTTTTTAAAGGTGAACATGCAAGGATGTATTGATGTAAGTATTTATTATTTGATCCTTATAGTTACGTTAGAACAGAGTATGTTTGTTACCACCATTATTCTTCATGCGGGTATGGCAAAAGTCGACTGTAAGATTACCGAGCCTGTGTAATAGACAACATTTCTGTTGCTAAGAGCGTCCTATTCTTGGAAATGTTTCACATAATTTCGGGTTTGAGATCGCAGTTTTTTTGTATGACAAACCACCCTATAACACACTGGCAGACGGATCACCTGATGGTAAGCTATCGGCGCCAGCGATCAGCATTTAAATTTAATTTTCTGTTGATGTTGCAATGGATTATATTTTCTATTTTTTCTTCTCCTCAAATAATATCTTCTGATTTATTTCGTTTCGGGATCCAAGACAGTCATTCATGTCCCTGTGACGCGGCGGACTTCAGTGTTCCGGTGTTTTCATGGTTGTATCTACTGTAGATCCTGGTGCACAGAGGTTTTGAGAGGATGTGGCGGACTTGTCCCCATAATAAGAAATAAATATCGTCGCTGCTTATTAACAAACGCAACACCGAGGAATTATAAGCGCATTGTTGCCCTTTTGAGTGATAAACATTGGAGAAATTGGAGGAATGGGAATGGTAAAGGAATTCAATAAGCCTACGATAATTTCACTCACACGGCGAAAAACAACGCTGCGGTTGTTTCACTTTGTATCACTCCGGTCGAGCCGACGCATTAGTGCCGAAGCTTGACTCTCCAGAGTAATCAACACACACGTACCTATACAATGTTCTAAGGATCGCGGATAAAGCGCTATTTTTCAGTATTTTAAACGTCTATTACTCTCACGAAACCCATAAGAAAAAAAGGAAAGGAAAAATAATTATATTCTACAATCAAAGCCCACGATTTCTGGTCACAGTAAGCGCGGGTCTGCGGACGGCATGTAAGGGTAGCTCGCCGCCCGACCAAAACCAGACCCGAGCGTAAGGCGCGTAGCGTTCCGTGCGCGCCTCAAAGAGCCGATAGACCACCATAGACGGGGCTCTATAGGGCTGATGTTCAACCGGGGTTGCGGGGTAAGCACAATGAGGCATCGCAGCTTCGCAGGAAAAGGAACGAGGTCGTTTTTAGTGAGCCAGACTCTGATACTTCCTCCTTGGGTAGGGCATCCAGGCGAGAGAGAACAAATATTTATGAGTTTCGTGCAACAATAAAAAATTAGCCATTAGCCATTTCACCCATAGACACCCGCAACACCAAAGGAGTAACGATTGGGATTAGGAAGGGATTTGGGGAGGGGTAGGACTGGTTCTCCAGTAACCTCATTTACACGGCTAAACACAACGCTGTAGTTGTTTCGTGCCGATTTTCTGTGTGGTTGACCCATTCGTGGCGATTGGTGAAGCTTGGCTCTCCCACACGTAAATATCTCTCATCTCACCCTATCTCTCATCCTTACTTCATATTAGTTGTTGTTTTAAGCGTGGGAGAGCCATGCTTCGGCACGAATGGGTCGGCTCGACCGGAGTGATAACACGGCCGCACAGAAAACCGGCGTGAAACAACCACAGTGTTGTGTTTCGCCGCGTGAGTGAGGTTACCGGAGGCCCAATCTTTCCCCTTCCCTAATCCCTCCCCAGTTCCTAAATCTCCAAATCCCTAATCCCTAAAAGGTCGGCAACGCACTCGTAACTCCTCCGCAGCGGGTGTTCATGGGCGGCACTGATTGCTTACCATCAGGTAATCCGTCTGCTGGTTTGCCGACCTATTACATAAAAAAAATTAGTAATAAGGAAAAAGTAAGAAATAAGATTTGTTCAATGAACAGCTAGATAATTCTTTCATCATCCGATATCGTGCGATTTCACTATCATCGAGTACTGTTTATATTTGTTTGCGATCTTAATACAACAATTACTAATATCAATTTGATAAAACAAGGAGTGGTTCCGTATGATATAGTAAGTTTTTTTTCTGGGTAGGAGTTTGTTAGACAGGGTGGCAAATCCGTGAAGCCCGTCGTGATGCCCCGAAGATTAAGGCGCCTACATCTCATGCATGAGAGCACAAAATCTGACAAGTAATTTCTATGCAATGATATTATAAGTAAAATGGTGTAGATAGGTTACCTAAACAAAATTCGATTTTCAAAAACGACACACTGATACACACATTAACAAATCGTATGTTTAGACGTCAAAGTGAGATGGCATGATTCGATAATCGCGAGTGAAAAAGAGACAAATATGAAAAAGTGTGGCTAGTTAGCCACATTTTAATGTATCACTTGCTGAGCGCTTGTAACCTATCTACACATTTTTACTTATAATATCGTTGATTCTATGATTATTTACACAGACACCACTGACATACGGTGAAGGAAACATGAACTTATAATTACTAATTTAATAAGTTTGGAATCGCTAATCAAAAGAGCAAAGACCTCTTCTCACAAAGAGAAGGCGAATTAGTAATTTCAAACTTATCATTAGAAATTATAGGTAAGTCTAGATTTCCTCGCGACATTTCCTTTCACCGTTTATCAATTATGTAGAAACAAAATTAGAAAAGATGGTACATAATTGTGTATCGTATCACTCGAAAAGCCATATTGTTACTGGCGAGCTTGGAACCCGCCTCTTCATGCAGTGAAGTGGGCGCCTTTACCTCCGGGCTCCCATGACCTTTTTTTGTCAGGGGAAAATCATCAAATGATTTCTCCCGCCTAGAGTGTAAGGCGAGAGAGAGTGTCAGACTCTTACTGACTAAAACCCCCCGTTCCTTCTCCTGCTCTGGGCCGAGGCCGCGGTGACTCATTGCGCTTACCCCGCAACCCCGGCTGAACATTTTAAGCTCTATAGGGCCCCGTCTGCAGCTCCCATGACCAATGGTATTAATACGGTTTCAAATTTTTTTTTAATATTTAGTCCATCAGTCAATGAGACATATTTTTTTTTGAGGCGTGCGCTGCAATCTACGCTCCTTACAATTAGTCCAGCCTAGGTCCCAGATGACTCATCCTTAGCTAGTTTCATCTTGAACCCTAATAACAATTAATCTCTCTATTGTGTTAGTGTTTACTAATTATCACGTTTTAATTAATTTTCACAGTAATCCATATATTTATCTACTATCATTATACTGTAATTAATCATTGATAGATAGGTATACCTACCTATTATTAATTAACTACTTAATATTTTTCCTGTATTAATTGATTAAACATACATATAATCTTATAATTGTTTCTTGTTTTATTTTGATGCGTAGACATCATCAAATGACGTCTCCCCCTCATAGGGTGGGCGGGAGGAGTGTAAGATTCTTACTGATTAAAAGTCTCCCTGTTTCTTTTCCTGTAACCCCAGCAGAACATAACCCCAGCTGAGTTTGCGCTACAGACGGGGCCCTATAGAGCTGATGTTCAGCCGGGGTTGCGGGGTAAGAGCAATGAGGCACCGCGACCTCGGCCCAGAGCAGGAGAAGGAACAGAGGGGTTTTTAGTCAGTAAGAGTCTGCGGAGAAGTAATTTGATGTTTTGTCCCTCACTAAAAAAAGCTGAGTCTACTATTTTACTGTAGTAACCTTTTAGGGTTGTTATTATTATAACTTCCTAGCTCTTACCCGCGGCGTCGCTCCCGTCATTAGAGTTACCCTACTCTACCTAACCTACGTCCTTCTCCTGGCTCTAAATTACCTCCCTGTCAATTATCGGCTAAATCGGTTCAGCCGTTCCTGAGTTATAAGTGGAGTAACTAACACGACTTTCTTTTATATATAGTATATAGATATTAAAATTAACAGGGACAACCAAATCGAAAATAAAACAACACACTAAAATCAAAAATCATTTTTTATTTGGAAACAAGTCACCAGCTCGTCTTGCGCCCACGACGAAACCCTCCCACGTTTCTTGGCAAACCTGTCCAATGTATTTAGGGTCCAAATGGAATCCAGCGTAACTCTCTTCAAGGCCAGGTAACTCAAAGCCGTAGGCTAATGGCACGCCAATGTAATGAGCGTAATCCGAAGCCGCACCAGCGGAAAAATACTGTACAACCAGCCCAGTATTACCAACTATATACTTTGGGAAGTGTGGTAAGGCTTTATTTTGGATAGCATTGGCCATAGCGATGCCCACTGTGTGAAGACCAAGAGCATTCTGTGACAGGGATCCGTCGTGGCCCCACGGATACATGATCATACTTCCGAAACTGTGGAGGTTGATATACAGAGCGATCCGAGCCAAGTTTTCATGTAAAATGTCCCTGATGACTCTGGTTTCTGGCTGGGAGAAGGCATGGGTGCCTGGGTAAGTCTCCCCACAAGGGCTCCAGTCAGTTCCGACTGTGTTGAAAACGAAATCAAAGTTCCTGTTCGCGTCTACTCCTCGACAGATGAGGCTGAGTGGATGGGTGTCAAAAGATCTGGTTTTGCGCCAAAACCGTTCCTGGAATGAAGAGAAATGTAAAAAATTACATGAATCTTTTTCATGTCCATCATCTATAAGTGTCCACTGCCAAGCAAAGGCGTCTTTTCATACGGAACAGGTTTGAGCATTAATCACCACGCCTGCACAAGACGTTGACCTGATGAGCGATTTTAAACTTGAGATTCATCTTGAGCAAGTGTGGTGATTAATGCTCAAACCTCTGTATGAGAAGAGGCCTTTGTTCACTAGTGAGCAGATGATGAAGTCTTGAGCCACAAATGTTTTCATAATGGCCTTATAGAAAAAGTACTCACCTTATCAAAAGTATACTTGTACCCATCAGGATTGATAACAGGCACCAGGATCCAGTCGAATCTTTCCAAGAGGTCAGGTTCGGTGACATTTTCCACCAGCTTATGTATAGCCCAAGTTACTGTGGGAGGGGTGATCCATTCCCTAGCGTGGATTGTCCCATCAATAACGATTATCGGTTTGGTCTCATCTTCAAAATTCGTTGTGGAGATTTTAACGTATTTAATTGGGTGATTGTTGAAGGAATGTCCTCCGGTGACTACTGTTGCAACGCCCGGGTATGTTTCTCCAATGTAGTCCAGGTAATCTTCGATCTGTGGAGTGGATTATATATGAGACTAGCTTCTTCTCTTGTGGGTGGAAAATTATCAAATGGTTTCTCTTGCCCAGGTGACAGTGACAGGTGCCCAGTGACAGATTATTACTAACTCAAAAGCCCCCGTTCCTTCTCCTTCTCCGGGCCAAGCCCGCTATACCCTATTGCGCTCAACCAGCAGCCCCGGCTAAGCATTGCCCATCTATGGTGGTCTATTGACCGGGAGTGACATTTGCCAAGGCAGAGGGATCTTACCACTTCGAGTTCCTGATAGTTGTCATAAGGCAGCTGACGGCCTCCGTTCCTCGACATTGTAGATCGCCTTTGTGCTTCTATGAGCTGGTCATCGAAGTCCAGTTTTCTGGAAAAAAAGATATTTTAATGTTTGTGGAGAGCCAACCTTCGGTTCGGATTTGTCGGCTCAACCGGAGTGAGGCCACGGCTTCAGAGCCAGCCGGCGTGAAGCAACTACAATGTTCTGCTTCACCGTAGTGAGGCCAATCATTCCCCTGCCTTACCCCTCACCAATCCTTAAATCTTCGAATCTCTTATCCAAATAATATCGCCGATTGTTTGCCATCAGGTTATCCCTTAGCTAATTTAGAAGAAAGAAAATATTATTTCACTGCATTAAAACTTGTGATAGATCCTACTTACTCCTTCACATCATCAGCGTGGATCCTGTAGGCGATACCTTCAGCTTCCAACTCCTGTACAAAGGCAGCCTGATGCTGTGGCTTCACCAGCACCACACCCTCGCGGCCCTCGGCAGGGTGGCTTAGGAAGTCCAGCTCAAACTTCTGTATCAAAGGTCCTAGGGCTTTGGACTGGTCGACGCTGGAGACTCCGATGTAATAGGATTTCCATCTGCAAAAACAACGTTTGAGGAGGTTCAGCACGAATGGATCTGCGACCAGCTGAAACGACGGCTTGAGGAAACACTTTTCTGGAAGAATGGAAGATCATTAAGTGGCTTCTCCCGCCCTGGCTGAGATGGGAGGAAGAGTCAGGCTCAAAGTGGCCGAAAACCTCCCCCTTTTAATCCTGTCCTCTGCTTTTTTGTGAGGGGAAAATCATCAAGTAACTTGTCTCGCCCAGGGTCAGTCAGACTCTTACTGACTATAAACTCCCCCGTTCCTTCTCCTGCTTTAGGCCGAGGCCGCGATGCCTTATAGCGCTTGCCCCGCAGCCGTTAATGCTCGAACCTTGTCCGTGTAAGAAGTGGTTTTTGCTCAGCAGTGGCCACTTATAGGCTGATGATGTGAAAAAATTGACAATCGAATTGTGCCAAGATGTCAAAAAGTCAATTCAATAAAACAAAAATGTAACAAACCCTTTATACATCTCGTGCTTTGCAAAAGCTACCGAGAGGATCCCAATTAGCACGAACCACTTCATTTTGACTAATTAATGTTTATGATTACGAAACTGTTATTTATATACAAGCATTTATCTGTTTAATACTTTATATCTTGCGTATTAATCATTATAATTGTTATTTTGAGATAAATAAATCTGATAAAATGGGAAGATTTCAGTGTCGTTGTGGCCGCGACGGTGGAGGTTCAGGCGCCCGCTTCTCATGCATGAGGGAAATCTGTCAAGTACCAAATGAATTTTTACGAGTTATATGTACTTTCTATAAATTTATAAGTCCAGGTTTCCTCACGAGGTTTTCCTTCGCCGTATGTCAGTTGTGTCTAAATAATCATAGAAAGGACATGTAACTCGGAAATGTCACTCCGCTCCCGCACTCTCATACATGAGAAGCGTGCTACTCAACCACCGAGCCATCACAACCTTGGATGCCTCGGTGGTTTGATTGCAAAAGTACAACCATGGAGTTGCTTGGTCGTTCTTCTCCATCGGAATCTACAATTTGAAACCAGAATTTATAGCTTCACTAAGAAAACTGACAGATAAAGTGGCGACAGGCTACTGTGGCCTCTGCGTGGTCCTCACCATAACGACACTCGGGCGATTCCTCCTGCTGGATCCGAAACAGGAACCTACCGAAGCTGCCGTGCCCGGTAAGGACCTGCGTCAGGCGGAAGGTGAGGACGCCGTGGCGTCTCTCAAGCCACTCCTCAAAGAGGGGTCTTACCGCTGCTATATCTGTGTGTGTTGGTAAACGAACAAATACATAACCTGATGGTAAGGAATCAGTGCTGCCCATCGACACCCGCAACAAAGGAGTTACAAGTGGACAGGGACAGGGACAGGGACAGGGACAGGGACAGGGACAGGGACAGGGACAGGGACAGGGACAGGGACAGGGACAGGGACAGGGACAGGGACAGGGACAGGGACAGGGACAGGGACAGGGACAGGGACAGGGACAGGGACAGGGACAGGGACAGGGACAGGGACAGGGACAGGGACAGGGACAGGGACAGGGACAGGGACAGGGACAGGGACAGGGACAGGGACAGGGACAGGGACAGGGACAGGGACAGGGACAGGGACAGGTACAGGGACAGGGACAGGGACAGGGACAGGGACAGGGACAGGGACAGGGACAGGGACAGGGACAGGGACAGGGACAGGGACAGGGACAGGGACAGGGACAGGGACAGGGACAGGGACAGGGACAGGGACAGGGACAGGGACAGGGACAGGGACAGGGACAGGGACAGGGACAGGGACAGGGACAGGGACAGGGACAGGGACAGGGACAGGGACAGGGACAGGGACAAGGACAGGGACAGGGACAGGGACAGGGACAGGGACAGGGACAGGGACAGGGACAGGGACAGGGACAGGGACAGGGACAGGGACAGGGACAGGGACAGGGACAGGGACAGGGACAGGGACAGGGACAGGGACAGGGACAGGGACAGGGACAGGGACAGGGACAGGGACAGGGACAGGGACAGGGACAGGGACAGGGACTCCTCTGTTATAGGAGGTATCCATGGGCGACGCTTATTGCTTACCATCAGGTAATCCGTCCGCTCGTTTGCTATCTAAGAACCTAAAAAACATCACTGCCTCGGTAAGAAGCAAGAAAAAGAATCGGGTGGTTTTTATCAGTAACAGTCTGACTCTCTCTTTCTCGTCTCACCCAAGACGGAAGAAGTCATTTGACGATATTCCACTTACAAAAAAGGCCACAACCAATTAATACAGGAAAAATATTAAGTAATTAATTAACAATAGGTATACTTACCTATCAATGATTAATTGCAGTATAATGATAGTAGATCAATATTTGGATTACTGTGAAAATTAATTAAAACATGATAATTAGTAAACACTAACACAATAGAGATATCTATTGTAATTAGGGTTCAATATGAAACTAGCTAAGGATCAGTCACCTGGGACCTAGGCTGGACTAACCGTAAGGAATGTATATTTCAGCGCACGCCTCAAAAAAAAAGATTGTTTTTCTATTATTAACACAGGTCATGGTAACCCGGAGGTTAAGGCGCCCACTTCTCATGCATGAAGAGGCGGATTCCAAGGTCGGTAGAACCAATGTCGCTTTTTCCGAGTTATATGTACCTACTTTCTGTGTTTTTTTATGGAATAGGAGACAGGCGGATCACCTGATGGTAAGCGATCAGCGCCGCCCATGGACACCTGCAACACCAGAGGAGTCACAGGTGCGTTGCCGGCCATTTAAGAAGGAGTACGCTCGTTTCTTGAAGGTTTGAAGGTCGTATCGGTTCGAGAATACTGCCGCCGGAAGATCATTCCAAAGTTTTGCTGTGCGGGGCAGAAAGTTACGCGAGAATCGCACAGTTGTTGACTGCCAACCATCTATGTGATGGGGATGAACAGGTTTTCGCGTGGAACGATAGCGAAAAGTTGCGGCGGGGAACCGAAACCGAACAATTCCTCAGAACACTCCCCGTGATAAAGGCGATAGAGAATACATAGCGAGGCTACTGTATACATCCCTACGCAGTGCCAAAGAGTCCAGCCGGTCCGAGTTAACAGGACAGTCAACGAATCAGGCAGCTCTTCGTTGAATGCGGTCCAGAGGGAGAAGCTGGTATTGGGGTGCCCCCGCCCAAAGATGAGAACAGTATTACATATGGGGCCGAACTTGCGCCTGCCTGACACCGTTGATAAACAGTAAAGAGAAATGTCGCGAGGAAAACTAGACTTTCCTATAATTTCTAATTATAAGTTTGGCATCACTAATACGCTTGATGTTTAAGGCTCAAACCTTCTCCTTGTGAGAAGAGGCCTCTGCTCAGGAGTGGGTACTTACAGGCTAATGATGATGTGACTTATAAATCCACATTAGAATTTTTGTTTCTTTCCTCACCGTATACTTGTGGTGTCTAAATAATCATAGAAAGTACTTACATGTAACTCGGAAAAAGTCACATTTGTACTCGCCAGATTTGTGCCCTCCTGCATGAGATGCAGGCGTCTTAATCTCCGCGACATCACGACGGGTTCCACGGATTTCCCACCCTGTCTAAAAAACTCCTACTCATAAATAAACTTACTTATCATACGGAACCACTCCTTGTTTTATCAAATTGATATTAGTAATTGTTGTATTAAGATCGCAAACAAATATAAACAGTACTCGATGATAGTGAAATCGCACGATATCGGATGATGAAAGAATTATCTAGATGTTCATTGAACAAATCTTATTTCTTACTTTTTCCTTATTACTAATATGAAGTGAGGTTTTCACACAAAAAAGGAGATTGGGAAAGGTGACGCATGGAATATTTTTTGGATGGTGAAAATGGAAAGAAAGGACAAATCATTTATATGTACAAATAAATGATTACAGTACAAACAAATAAATGATTTGACGAAGCACCAAAGATAACTACAATAAGAAGAGAAATAAACAGCACAATTAATTAAACAAAAGAGTAAAAGAAAAATGTAATAATGTTAATTTAACACCTATACTAAAAGGTGTTAAAGGCGCGGTGATTGAGCAACTGGCTGCCGCGCAACGTATCGCGGGTTCGATTCCCGCAAGGAACAACTCTTTGTGTGATCCACAGATTGTTGTTCCGGGTCTGGGTGTCATGTGCATGTTTGTAACCGCACCCACGACACAGGAGAAAATCCTAGAGTAGAGCAACGCTAAAAAAAAAGAAAAAAAGAACAGAACATAACGCATAAAAAACCTTAACAACTTTAACAAACAAACATGACAAGATAGCAGCATGCCTATGCCAAAAGGTTTGCTTTCTCAGTATAAGTTGGAGTCAGTGAATACCCTTTTTTTGTGAGGGGAAAATCATCCAATGTTTTCTGTCACACAGCGTTAGGCGAGAGGAAGCGTCAGACTCTTAATGACTAAAATACCTAAGAAAACGAGCTTACAGATTACCTGGTGGTAAGCAATCGGCGCCGCCCATGGACACCTACAACACCAAAATCGTATCGCACGATTTCCTACGAGCCGGCTTGCGTCCCTGCAAGTCGATTCTATAAAATTTGTTTGATTTTGAATCTTGTTCGAGTGCGAAGTGAGTGTCGAAGTGACGGGGAAATTAAATTTTAGAATGTCACTTTTAACGTCATCTCATACTTCGAAATGTTGCTGTCAATTTAGTTCAACTCATTTAGTTCAACATCGAGATGTTGCTGTCAATTTAGTTCAACTCGCAAGTGTAGCGCTAGTGTACTACTACTCACAGCGGATTCAGATTCGAAGTTTAGAATGAAGTCTTACAGAATCACACTGCTGGGACCTAGAGGCGAAAATACTCGCGTCATTACATCGATGGCGCGAGGAAGAGCGAGCTCGGGGCTTAACGCCGATGCTCAGCGGCAAATAGGTCTAGGCGGCTGGCGAATGGCGCCAAAGACTCCAGTGCCCTACGGCCGGCCACGCTGCCATCGAGGCGATCCGGGCAGTACTCGGCAACTGGCTCAGGAGAAGGCACGGCTCCCTATCGTTCAGGATGACGCAGTTGCTATCGGGGCACGGATGCTTCGGCAAGTACCTGTGCGCATAGACAGGGAGCCGGAAGCTCGGTGCCAGCACTGCGTCCATTGCGGGGTGGACACAGCGCAACACACGCTCGCCGAGTGTGTAGCTTTTGTTTTTTTTATTGATTATAGGTTCGCGCTTGACCGCTATCTCACCTGATGGAAAGCGACGATGCGGTCGACGATGGAGCGCGCTTACCTAGAAGTAACCTATTCACTCTTGACTTAAAGATACCCGGATTGTAACTATCAGGAAACACCGACTCCGGCAAGGAATTCCACTCCTTGGCTGTACGCATAATGAATGTGCTCCCAAAACGTTTTGTACGTATATGTGGGACATCCACCATGTACCGGTGGCGCAATGCCGTACGTCTGGTGGTCCGATGATGGAACGGGCTAGGCGGAATTAAATTATATAATTCCAACGCACATTCCCCGAAATGCAGCCGGTAGAAAACCGACAGGCTAGCAACTCGGCGTCGATGCTCAAGACTTTGAAGTCTCGACTCGACACGTGCATCATCGCCAATGATCCTCTTGGCTCGCCTCTCAATAGACTCAAGCGCATCAAGTTGGTATCGGGCAGATCCGTCCCAAAGATGGAAGGAGCAGCGCCGCCTCATAAATGAAGTAGGAGACGATCTGTCGCTGTCGACCGTGGTTTGGAAGACGGTCGACAGCGCAGAGTCATGGGACGCAGTGGTGTCCTTTTGCAAAGACATGATGTCGCTGAAGGAACACGACTAAACTAGTTATAAATGCCTACAAAAAATCATAACTGCCATATGATTCATAAAAAGCAAAAATCGTTTAATCAACCTATTTGAGTTAAAATGTTTTCTCTTTTACTCATTGTTACTTTATACGTCAAAAAATTGTTATTTAAAAAGTGAAGTCTGGAAAGTACCGAAAGTCTCGGGAAATGCATCATCAGTACCGGTTTTAAAAAAAAGATTTGATTACCGGGAATTCCCGTCGCGGGATCCCTGACGCCTGGAGCGCCTCAACTCTCTTTTTACGGTTGAACTAGGCTAGATAATAAAAACATAAAATAGTATGGGCGCGGGTCGGCTCGACCAGAGTATTACCACGACTTTTGCGAAGTATTACCACGACCTTACCCGTGTAAGTGTGGTCACCGGAGGCCTAATCTCTCCCCCTCCCCCAATCCCTTTCCAATCCTCAAATATCCGAAACCCTTATCCCTAAAAGGCCGGCAACGCACTCTTAACTTTTGTGTTGCGAGTGTCCATGGGCGGCACTGATTACTTACCATCAGGTAATCCGTTTGTTCGTTTACCGACCTGTATCATAAAAACAATAAACGCAATTGGGAAAACACACTTTATGTTTATATTTATAAATACTCTACGGTTACCAAAAATAATCATTTCTAAGAAGACGATTACAATACCAGCCTATTGTCCACTGACTCACTGTAGGACGATTATGATGTTAATCAATTATTTAATTGATACAATATTGATAACCTTTTTAGTTAAGCAGTTTCTTTGATGGTTTAAGCTTCGATTTCAGTGCTGGATAAAGAAACATTGGTATTTCCAAAATCAAAATCGTTTAATTTGTTTCAACAAAAACGTTTCCCCCACGATTTTTGGAACTTCACGGAGTATTTTCGTCGTTTGGCTCCCAAGTTGGAACGGACTGGGGCCGCGCTCAAGCGGTTCCTTCCCTACATGGGGCGTTTGGCTCCTAAACGCCTCCTGCCGGAGGCTGTAGATGGGGATCGTGTGCTGGCTTGTTGTGTTGCCGGAGGTTGTATATGGGGATCGTGAGATCCATGGCTCTCTACGGTGCACTGGTCGCGTCTCAAAGGGTCATGGCTATTCGCATAGTCCGGGGATATCGTACGATCTTAAAGGAGGCGGCGAACCTCCTTGACGGATCAACGCCATGGGATCTGAAGGCGAAAGCGCTTGCTCGCGTTTACAGTTTGCGCGCTGACGCGAGTCACCGAAGCTGAAATCCTCCGCTTCGCCGAATTTTTGCGTGGCGGAATGAGCTCCGGCTCGATCTCATGGCAGAGTGGCAGCAGCGTCTGTCGCAACCGAGGGCCGGGCACGCTGTTATAGCAGCGGTAAGACCCCTCTTTGAGGAGTGGTTTGAGAGACGCCACGGCGTCCTCACCTTCCGAATTACGCAAGTACCTACCGGGCACGGCAGCTTCGGTAGGTTCCTGTTTCGGGTTCGGCGGGAGGAAAGCGAGAGTCGTCATTATGAGGACCACCAAAGACGGGGCTACAGGGCTGATGTTCAGCCGGGATTGCGGTGTAAGCGCAATAGGGCACCGTAGCCTCGTCCTAAAACAGTTTTTAGTCAGTAAGTGTCTGACGCTCTCTCTCGCCTTACCCTGGGCGGGAGAAGTTAATCTGATAATTTCTCCTGACAAAAATAAAACACTAGGATTTTCTATGTTTACAAACATACACAAACCAGTCGTGATGGCCCGGAGGTTAAGGCGCCCGCTTCTCATACATGGGGGCATTCGAAACCTGGCAAGTACCAATGTGACTTTTTCGAGTCTCGTGTACTTTCTATGATTATTTAGACACCACTGACATACGGCGAAGAAAACCTCGCGAGGAAAGCTGAACTTTTAATTTCTGACTATAACTCGGAAAAAGTCAAATCAATTGGTACTAGACAGGTTTCCCTCATGCGTGAGAAGCGGGCGCCTGAACCTCCACCGTCGCGGCCATTACTTACGACACTGAAATTTTCCCATTTTATCGAATTTATTTATGTCAAAATAACAATTATAATGATTAATACGCAAGATATAAAGTATTAAACAGATAAATGTTTGTATATAAATAACAGTTTCGTAATCATAAACATTAATTAGTCAAAATGAAGTGGTTTGTACTAATTGGGATCCTCTCGGTAGCTTTTGCAAAGCACGAGATGTATAAAGGGTTTGTTACATTTTTCTTTTATTGAATTCACTTTTTGATATCTTGGCACAATTCGATTGTCAATTTTTTCACATCATCAGTCTATAAGTGGCCACGGCTGAGCAAAGGCCACTTCTCACACGGAGAAGGTTTGAGCATTAACGGCTGCGGGGCAAGCGCTATAAGGCATTGCTGCCTTGGCCTAAAGCAGGAGAAGGAACGGGGGAGTTTATAGTCAGTTGGAGTCTGACTGACCCTGGGCGAGACAAGTCCCTTGATGATTATCCCCTCACAAAAAAGCAGAGGACAGGAATTTAAAGGTGGAGGTTTTTGACCACTTTGAGCCCTGACTCTTCCTCCCATCTCAGCCAGGGCGGGAGAAGCCACTTAATGATTTTCCATTCTTACAGAAAAATGTTTCCTCGAGTGTTTCCGTAGTTTCAGCCGGTTGCAGATCACGCTGATCCTCCGAACCTTGTTTTTGCAGATGGAAATCCTATTACATCGGGGTCTCCAGCGTCGACCAGTCCAAAGCCCTAGGACCTTTGATACAGAAGTTTGAGCTGGACTTTCTAAGCCACCCTGCCGAGGGTCGCGAGGGTGTGGTGCTGGTGAAGCCACAGCATCAGGCTGCCTTTGTGCAGGAGTTGGAAGCTGAAGGTATCGCCTATAGGATCCACGCTGATGATGTGAAGGAGTAAGTATGATCTCTAACCATTATTCATAATCTCAATTCGTTCAATCAGTCATTCAAATTTGGAGTGACGAAACCGAAACAAGAGGTTACTTGATGGTCAGCAATCGGCGAGATTTCGTAGATAAGTGTTTTGAAGATTTAAGGATTGTGACGGATGGGGTAGGGGAATGATTGTGCCTCATTACACGGCGGAATTGCGCTGTAATTGTTTTACGCCGGTTTTCTTTGAGGCCGTGGTATCACTCCGGTCGAGCCGACCCATTCGATCGAACCGAAGGTTGGCTCCCCACAAACATTAAAATATCTGCTCTTTTCAGAAAACTGGACTACGAAGACCAGCTCATAGAAGCACAAAGGAGATCCACAATGTCGAGGAACGGAGGCCGTCAGCTGCCTTATGACAACTATCAGGAACTCGAAGTGGTAAGATCCTTCTGCCTTAGCAAATGTTACTCCTAGCCAATAGACCACCCTAGATGGACAATGCTTAGCCGGGGCTGTGAGTCAAGCACAAGAAGGTACAGGGGCCTCGGACTCGAGCAGTAAGAATCTGACACTTCCATCGCCTCACCCTGGGCAAGAGAAACCATTTAATAATTTTCCACCCACAAGAGAAGAAGCTAGTCTCATATATAATCCACTTCACAGATCGAAGATTACCTGGACTACATTGGAGAAACATACCCGGACGTTGCAAAAGTAGTTACCGGAGGACATTCCTTCAACAATCACCCAATTAAATACGTTAAGATCTCTACAACGAATTTTGAAGATGAGACCAAACCGATAATCGTTATTGATGGGACAATCCACGCTAGGGAATGGATCACCCCTCCCACAGTAACTTGGGCTATACATAAGCTGGTGGAAAATGTCACTGAACCTGACCTCTTGGATAGATTTGACTGGATCCTGGTGCCTGTTATCAATCCTGATGGGTACAAGTATACTTTTGATAAGGTGAGTACTTTTTCTATAAGGCCATTATGTAAACATTTGTGGTTCAAGACTTCATTATCAGCAAGGGTTATTTCAAACTTGTAATTCGGCTTGAGAAAAGAGGCCTTTGCTCAGCAGGGGATACTTACAGACCGATGGTGATGATTACGATGCATACGAAAAAGAGCAATGTAATTATTAAAATTTCTCTTTATTTCAGGACCGATTCTGGCGCAAAACCCGTTCTTTTGACACCCATCCACTCAGCCTCATCTGTCGAGGAGTAGACGCGAACAGGAACTTCGATTTCGTTTTCAACACAGTGGGAACGGACTGGAGCCCTTGTGGGGAGACTTATCCAGGCACCCATGCCTTCTCTCAACCAGAAACCAGAGTCATCAGGGACATTTTACATGAAAACTTGGCTCGGATCGCTCTGTATATCAACCTCCACAGTTTCGGAAGTATGATCATGTATCCGTGGGGCCATGACGGATCCCTGCCACAGAATGCTCTTGGTCTTCACACAGTGGGCATCGCTATGGCCAATGCTATCCAAAGTAAAGCCTTACCACACTTCCCAAAGTATGTAGTTGGTAATAGTGGTCTAATTGTACAGTATTTTTCCTCTGGTGCGGCTTCAGATTACGCTCATTACATTGGCGTGCCATTATCCTACGCCTTTGAGTTACCTGGTCTTGAACAGAGTTACGCTGGATTCCATTTGGACCCTAAATACATTGGACAGGTTTGCCAAGAAACGTGGGAGGGTTTTGTCGTGGGCGCAAGACGAGCTGGTGATTTGTTTCAGAATAAATAATGATTTTTGATTTAATTTGTTGTTATTTTTTTTGATTTTGGTTGTCCCTGTTAAGTTAAATATAGTAATGTATCCTAAAAGGTTACTTCAGTAAAAATACTAAAAATAGGCCATATCAAAATAGGAGCAAGACTGCACAGATCACCGACACTGTTTTTTCAATCGTCAATCCGCCTTGGGCAGGCTTAGTGATTAACTTCTGCTGAAGTGGTGACCACCACAGAAGGCACTCAACAGTGCCGATGTTCAGCCGGGGTTGGGGATCAAGCGAAACAATGTACCACTGCCTCGGCAAAGAGTAGAAAAAGAACGGGGTTGTTTTTAGTCAGTAACAACAGTGAGTCAGACTATAGGGTGTGACTCTCTGTCTCGCCGCACCCATGACGACACTCAGGTGTTACCACCCGCCGGATCCGAAACAGGAACCTACCGAAGCTGCCGCGCCCGGTAAGCACCTGCGTCAGGCGGAAGGTGAGGACGCCGTCTCTCAAGCCACTCCTCAAAGAGGGGTCTTACCGCTGCTATAACAGCGTGCCCGAATTTTTAAAGTGACAATATCCGCAAGTGTTCAGTCTAAATATATCTTCACGCATATTTCCTAAGTGGCCGGAGCACTTCTAGCTTCAGTTGTCAGCCGCAGAATGCAGAATAGATGGCATTCCGTGCATTGATCTTAGGGTTGTCACTAATGACTTATATAGAATTTATTTGATACTGGCTACTTTTCACCCGCTGCTCGGCTCTTACAGATGGTAGCGAGATGTTTTATACCCAGGCTCGATAAATGGTTCAACACAAAGAATTGTTCGTTAATTCGAACCAGTAGATCCGGAGATAAGCGCGATCAAACAGACAAAAAAACTCTTCAGCTTTATAATATCAGTAGTAGTAGTAGTCGGCTTCCGCCCGCGGCTGCGCACGCGTGTAAAAGTGTTTAAAATGATAGCTCAACTATAATCTAAACTAATAATATAAATGCGAAAGTAACTTTGTTTGGCTGTCTTTTCTTTACTCCTAAACTATATGTATATATATATATATATGTAAGGGGTTATCTTTGGAAACAGCTGATCGGATTTCCAAAATTTTAGGCTATAAATTATACTTTATTTAAGTACTAGCTTTTGCCCGCGTGGAATTGTGACTTCCCAGATTTTTGGTTTGAAAACTATCCTTTATGTCCCTTCTCGAGTTCCAAACCACATCTGTACCAAATTTCACACAAATAGGTTCAGTAGTTTAGGCGTGAAGAAAAGACAGACAGACAGACAGACAGAGTTACTTTCGCATTTATAATATTAATCAGTTTGGATTCCAAAGTCGAAATAATTTTTATTTTTGAATACATACTTAAGTCAAATGTTTATTTTCACGTATATCTAATAGTTGTGCCAACCCTAGCGTTTTCTTGGACATTTTTTCTTGATTTTGGCACCTTACACTGATTCAGCGGGACGTAAGTCATACGAGAAAGGCGTTAGGCAGCTGTGAGCTACTTCAATTAAGTGGACGGTTACGATAATACGATACATATAATTATGATGACAAAGAAAATTAATATATTAGTAAAAAAAACGGTAGCTTGATATCACATCGTTAAACTACAGAAGCGCAAACCGAACTGAGCCAATCGCTCGAGCCGCCCATGCCTCTTTTTCATTTGTGCCGCGCTGTCGCTAACGGAACGCGACAATTTTATGTTTTTTAATTTTTTATGTAATAAGTCGGCAAATGAGCAGACGTATTACCTGATGGTAAGCAATCAGCGCCGCCCATGGGCACCCGCAACGGAGGAGTTACGAGTGCGTTGCCGACCTATTAGAGATTAGGGATTTGTAGATATAGGGATTAGGGAAGGGTCCGGGAAGGGGAAGGATTGGGCCTCCGGTAACCTCACTCACACGGCGAAACACAACGCTGTGATTTTATTCCATGCCGGTTTTCTGTGAGGCCGTGGTATCACTCCGGTCGAGCCGACCCATTCGTGCCGAGGCATGGCTCTCTCACACTTGGCATGGCAATGAGCTTTTGTGAACATGGTCTTCTTGGTCTTCTTCACCTTAACATTTTTAACAGTCTTAACCAGCCTGGGTAGGAAATGATCATGATTGTAGCCCTATGGCGTATAAAAAAATACTAGCTACTCTCGCGCGGTTTCGAGCTCCATTTGATCGTAGAGTGAATTTTTATAGCCTATAGCACTCAGGAACATTGTAGCTATCCATCAGTGAAAGACTTTGGCAATCCGACCAGCGGTTCTAAAGATTACCCCCTACATACAAACTTACAAATTTTACCTCTTTTTAATATTAGTATAGCTAAATCGCTCTCGCTTATCCCAAGCGCCACGCGCCCTGGCGGCGACACCTAGCGATCTTTTGCACTCGAGTTATGACTTGTTACTGGCGTCGATTTGTCGTATATTCTCTATAGATTAATAGAAAAATGTTATGCATTAGATAATATCCTAAAATAGACACTTACTTGTCTGATGGTAAGCAGTCACCGTGGTCTATAAAACTAGAACAATCACGAAAGCTTTTTTTTTTTATTATTTTTATGTAGTTGGTCGGCAAACGAGCAGACGGATTACCTGATGGTAAGCAATCAGCGCCGCCCATTGACACCCGCAACGGAGGATTTACGAGTGCGTTGCCAACCTTTTAGGGATTAGGGATTTGGAGATTTAGGGATTGAGGAGGGATTGGGAGCGGGGAAGGATTGGGCCTCCGGTAACCTCACTCACACGGTGAAAAACAACGCTGTGGTTGTTTCACGCCGGTTTTCTGTGAGGCCGTGGTATCACTCCGGTCGAGCCGACCCATTCGTGCCGAAGCATGGCTCTCCCACACTTAAATTATGACACACGAAAATTATGTTTAATTCTATCGTCATTTTCGAGAAGAATTGTTCCCGAAAATGACGGTGTTTTGTTGTCCTGCCTACTTTAGCGTCCAGTTTCTCACGTGGGCGTGTGGATGCGGGACTCAAATTCGTCTGCAGCCCCCACCCATGCTAGCATGCATGCAGCATAGCTAATTTCAACAGGTCCCACCCGAAGATCGATTGGGAAGTGAGATGTGGATCTCCTCAAGCTTTGCCATGAGACGCGCGCCACCTTCCAGGTTCCTTTTAAAGGGACGATGAAGCTATGAAACTTATTTACCGCCCTTTCTGATATATATTTATGTGATAGGACGGCAAGCGAGCTGATGGATTACCTGATGGTAAGCAAACGACGCCGCCCATAGACACCCGCAATGACGTAGGAGTTACGAGTGCATTGCCGACCTTCTTGGAGGATGAGAAAGATTGGGCCTCCGGTAACCTCACTCAAACGGCGAAAATCAGTCGCTGTGGTTCTTTCATGCCAGTTTTCTGTGAAACTTCTCAATCCTTAAATATCCGCAACCCTTATCCCCAAAAGGCTGGGTAATCCGACTGATCGTTTGCCAACTTATCCCATAAAAAAATCGCTCAATATAAAATGTTAAAACTGAGCAAATCTGTAATTACATATAATACTAGTAGACCCAGCCACGCGTTGCTGTGGCTAAGGTTCTTGTCATATTACATATGGACAAATAATTTGCAATAAAATAATATTGTGACTATAAATTGAGATGTAAGCTATCCTATCTTTCAAGTTGGATCAAAATGCACACGGGATGCAAATCAAATTTAAAATTGGTTTAGTAGTTTAGGAGTCCATCGCGGACAAACAAGTGACACGAAATTTTTATAAGCATATAAAATTACATAATATATAGGTATGTAGTCTTAAAATAATACCTATCTGTCAATCGTCACGTCATGTGTTTCACAGACATTTTGTTCTTTATTTATATTTTGACCTGAATTTCAGCCATCAGTCGTGTCGAGACGAAGTTTAACATTTTTTGGACGATAAATATTATTATGGCTGGCTGATTACAGATTGTGGGTTTCCGATTTCATCTTTCTATAGTCTAAACTTTTTATTTTTTCTTAATGTTACTGTTGAGATCTCGTATAATATTTCTGGGTTATATAAAGCGTTTATCGTACAGAGTTTTTTTTTGAACCGGCCTAAGGCAAAGCGAAAGGAGGGTTATGATTTTGACAAGCTATGTATGTATATATGTTCATCTGTTCCCTCGTAACTTCTAAACTACTTATCAGAATTTGACATATGACATATCATTAGAAACGTCTTAATTTTCCGCTGGTTATAGGCTATATGGGGTAAAAAAATAAAGTTAAGAAATTACACCGTGTTTGGTATCATTTAAAAGCGCTTTACTTGTACATTTTGAATATATATATATATATATATTCAAAATGTACAAGTATTCAAAATGTATATATATATATATATTGTCAAATATCATGTATATATATATATATATTGTCAAAGTGTACAAGTATTCAAAATGTATATATATATATATATATATATATATATATATATGTTTTTTGTAATAGGATTCTTATTAAAATCACGGTTTTAAGCAGATGTTTGGCAATAGGCTTTTAGTCTTTGACTTATTATCACCTTTTTTTTAGTCAGGGGAAAATCGTAAAATGACTTCTGCCGCTCGGGGTAAGGCAAGAGAGAGTGACAGACTCTTACTGACTAAAAACCTCCCCGTTCCTTCTCCTGTTTTGGGCTGCGGCTGGGGCGTAAGGAAGAGGAGAGATCCCTCACGCGGTCCGCCTCCTTCTTTGCGAGCATAACTGCTTCACAGAAAGAAGACAAGGCTTCCCAGTTCCTATCGCTTTACACCATAGCCTTGACTTAGGCCGGGTGCGAGAGGTCGCCGCCGCCAATCACTTTTCTGAGGACACGACGGTGCTCAGCCCAAGCAGTGCACACCGCCACCGTATGCTCCACCGTATCTTCAGGGTGGTCTTCACAATGACGACACTCAGGCGTTTCTTCCCGCTGGATCCGAAACAGGAACCTACCGAAGCTGCCGTGCCCGGTAAGCACCTGCGTCAGGCGGAAGGTGAGGACGCCGTGGCGTCTCTCAAGCCACTCCTCAAAGAGGGGTCTTACCGCTGTTATAACAGCGTGCCCGATTAACACTACATAGTAGATCTCCGTAAATAAACGTGCGCACTCCTTCTTAAAAGGCCGGCAACACGCCTGTGACTCCTTTGGTATTGCAGGTGTCCATGGGCGGCGCTGATCACTTACCAACAGGTGATCCATCTGCTCGTTTGCCTCCTATTCCGTAATCTACCCTCTAGTATGTTTGCAATGCCTGGAAAAGGCTACTAAGTTTTTAAGTGCCACTAGCAATAAGACCTATGTATACACTTAGTTTGCAAATAAATAAATTTGAATTTGAATTTGAATTTGAAAAAAAATGTGTATAAAACAAAGTCGCTTCGTTTGTTCTTACTCTATGTATGTATGCTTAAATCTTTATAACTACGCAACGGATTATTATGCCGTTTTTATAGATAATGTGATTGAAGAGGAAGTTTTATATGTGTAATGTCATCAATTAAAATGAAATAGGGGTAACATTTTGTATCAGCATTATTGCAGCCGTGCAAAGTGTGTTGCTTGCTGGTCTATTGGGGATTATCAGACAATTGAAGCAGGCCATGATCCATCTGCTCATCGACTGCCCTTTTTTTCTGAGGGTAAAAAATCATCAAATGACTTCTCTCGCCCAAGGTGAGGAGGGAAGGAGTGTCAGACTCTTACTGACTAAAAACTCCCCCGTTCCTTCTCCTGCTCTAGGCCGAGATCGTGGTGCCTCATAGCGCTTACCCCGCAACCCCGGCTGAACATTGGTCCTGTTGAACATCTTTGGTGATCTATTAGCTCTTTGCGGCGCGCGCGGAACGCTACGCGGAGTATATACCACAGATTACTATATACTAGTCAGAGACAGATGGGACACTCGATTTTTTGGTATTTTTCACTAGTTACCGCAAAGCGCTAGTATCGCATGTGATGACGTCACAGACTTTGACGTAGCTTAGTGATGTAATCGATATTTTAGATATAAATATCGATATTGCTAGTGATGTACCATAGTCGATAAACAAGTATTCAGGAATCTGTGTATTAAGTTTTAACTTCGACTTTTAAAAATAAATGAAAGATTAAGTAATTTAAGATTATTTATTTTTGCTTCTGAACCTATATACATATACATTTTATGTTTTTATGAGCTTTCATTTGATATATTGGTACAGTCAGGGCATAGATTATACACTATAACTGGAGTCAGGTGTCAAAAATGCAATTACACTCTACCAATTTTAAAATGACTAAAATTTCTTTGTAGTAAACGTTCAATGATTCACAGCCAGTTTATTCAATAATTTAGATTTTATGCTATAAATTAAAGAGGACTGCTCAACCATTGACTCTATTCTACAAAGATATTTTGATCACTTTAAAATTGGTAGAGTGCTTACTTATCAGTTGAACTCAGTGGAATTCCAAAAGATATTTCTCTATCAGAAAACAAGCAAGGGTAGCCTTGGCGGAGGCCCCTGCTATCAAATTGATACGATCAAAATGATTTTGGCAAACACGTTTAGTCAATAACTGATGCTTAGGCAGACCAGTAAGCTCTATGTTGATTGAAATCAAGAATGATAGCCACAATTATCTCAAATTATCGTCCTTAGGAAGAAGGAAAAGGCGATGAGCACGATTCGTAGACGGGCAGTTACTGACACAACACTTTCGCACGTTCATGGCAAAAAAACTACGAATCAGTCAATACGTGAATATCAAGGCACGTTAGGGATTATTTGTAACTCAACACAAGCTGAAAAGCGAGAAATACACAAAATAAAACCGGCAGTTGCACTCAAAATAAACACGAATAACTGACTGACAGTAGTGACAGTTTGGCAGATAGTCGTGACGATGACGTAACGTATATGGCGACCAAGATGGCGATCGGCACACCAGCGCACTACGGTAACTGTGGAACTAACAGTGTCACAGGCCTGGTATATACCCTCGGGTCTGGTTCTGGTCGGGCGGGGAGCTTCCCTTACTCGCCGTCCGCAGACCCGCGCTTACGGTAGCCGGAGATCGTCGCTTAGGACCTGAAGGCCGCAGTCTTGACTGTTCTAACATATAAAAATACTTTTTTCCCTCAATAACTTCGTTTTAATTCTGACTATCTTTAAAAAGGGGCACAATAAAACAGCTGTTAAATCAAATTACATAGTTAAGTACACCTTTGCCAATACCTTGAAATGAAAAGCGTGATGTAACATGGTGTCACAAGCAGTTACTTTGACATGTAAGGCTAAAAACGTGCGGCCAGCGACTTTTCTCTTGACCGTACATGGATGAGAAACGCCCGTCTTTGCTAACCGTACGTTAGGTGTGGAGGGTCATTCTGCAATTGATTTAGGCGTAATGATTTAAAAAAAGATTTGTTTTTCTATCGGGTTTGACATTATAATGGATGCGAGGATGATGTAAGGTCATTATACATTTAAGTAGAAAGTTCGTTAGCATCTCTTGAAGAAATTGTCTGAATCATTGAATATCTATATAATTTTTTTTTGTATATGGTAGGTAGGTCGACAAACGAGCAGACGGATTACCTGATGGTAAGCAATCAGCGCCGCCCATGGACACCCGCAACAGCAGAGGAGTTACGAGTGCGTTGGCGACCTTTTGTGGATTAGGGATTTGGAGATCTAAATCTCCAGGGATTGGGGGAGGGGAAGGATTTTGCCTCCGGTAACGTCACTTTTGACGGTTGTTTCACGCCGGTTTTCTGTGAGGCCGAGGTATTGATAAATCTTTAAAAATACGCAACGGATTTTGATGCGTTTTATTTTATAGATAAGAGTGATTGAAGAGGAAGGTTTATATGTATAACATCCATTAAATAGTGGAGAAATTTAGTATCGATATTGAACCCGTTCGAAGCTGGAATAAAAAAAAGAGAATCGCCCATTTGAAATCACAGAAGGTTTGTAACTGGAAGCGTTGTGTTAGTCACGCCGCCCTATATAAGGCAGGCTCCGTGCCTATCCAACTATGCCGTTATAGGGTGCTAGCGAACTATCACATAGAAGTATATACATCGCGATATTACAAGAAAAGTCTATGATGAAGTGAAAGTATTTTTATTTAGTTACCGTAAGTTCGGGTTACTTTGACCCTGGGAGGTAACTTTGATCCAAATTTTCGAACCAATGAAAAACGAATATATGTTTGGTTCTCAGTTATTATTGGTTAAGGGGTTTGGATCGAAGTTACCTCCCAGGGTCAAAGTAACCCGAACTTACACGGTATCCATTTATTTCAGGCATTCAAGGTCCATATAAATTGTATAAAATACTATTTACAAACTTAAATCTGTACTAATATAGCAGACCCAGCCACGCGTTGCTGTGGCTAAGGTAAATAATATTGTGACTATAAATTGAGATGTAAGCTATCCTATCTTTCAAGTT